CCCCCCCCCCAGACCCCTCGCCCTCGACAATAAACTAAATCAAAAATTTTCTCTTCACAATCCCCATCACCATTAACAAATAAATCACCGTCGAGCAAATAAATCACGATACGCCTCATCACCCCGACCGGTCCCTCATAAAAGCCTTTACAAACAACCGTCAAATTGATCTCCCGAGTTTTTCCCGTTGCCCACAGCCGAGGATTGCGAAAATTGCCTCTTAACTCATCTCCACGCCATAAAATCCTCGAAGTTGACTGGCGTCGGCCTCTTCTCATCATCTCAGCCCCATCCCCAGGAACATCCCATAATGCCCCCACAAATACCCTTCAACACCACCAACAACTACCCTAAACCCCAGAAAACAAATAAAACCCAGGAAAATAATAGTTCATCCTTGAAAAATCACTCACAAATTTTTTCTCGCGCTGTCAGTCACATAAAAATTGTACAAACATCTTTTCGGAGGTGCTCCACTGACACAATTGCCCCTGCAATCGTCGGTGGACTCAAGACCTATAAAAAAAATAAACGAAAAAAAATTGAGAAGAAAAAAAAACATTCACGACTCAAACGAATAAAAATTCGTTTTTTCATTCATCAAATTGATTTTTTAATAGATAAATTAATTGGTAAATTGATACTTACAGTATGCACTGGGGTAAATACTAAGAATAGCGAGTAAAATCACATTCACTGAATATTTACAGGTCATAATGACGATTATCTCACGATTTGTCGATTTAATGATTTAATTATCGAATTGATTGTTCATTGGGATGATGAATTTTTAAAGAACAGGGGATTGTTGTTAGCGTGGTAGCTGGAGGAGAGGCAGAAGTCGAATGAAAGGTGGTGTACAGCAGGGGCCCAGTGTCTTTACGTGAGGAATTCACAGTGTAGGTGAATCGTCTTGGTATCACTGGTAAATAAAACCGGTCACGGACGCTGGACCACATCAATCCCCCATGTCTTTACCGTTAATTCGACACTAGTGTGTGGAGGATATTCGGTTGAGAGGGTACATCTAACGACTGAAAAATTGCTGACGATTATTCGGCGTTCAGAATTGATTTTTAACGCGGAAGAATCTTTTTTTTTGTGTAAAGTCGATTCGTGATGAAAACCCTTTCGTTATTTTTACGTTTGTCTCGGGATCCAGTGGGTTGACGAGAAAATGTCAGAGGAACTTTTTGTAGCTGAAGAAATTTGCAATGGAAAATGTCCTCTGACTTTTTTTCCTGAAATCAGTAGTTACCGAGATAATTGAGAGAATAGCAAAATGGAAAAAAATATAATTTGACGTTTTGCTTCGGAAATTAATCAAACTCGCTTCGGTATTTTCTCAATTATCTTGAGAATTATCAATGGCACCAAAAAATGTCAGAAGACATTTTTTGTAGCTGAGGAAATTTCTGAGAAAAAATATTATTTGATGTTTTCTCCTGAAATCAATATTCTCCGAGAAAAATGACATGAGCGTCTTGATGAAAGCATCTAGACAGTAAAGAGAAGTCGTTTGTTATTAATTAGTATTTGAAATGGATTTCCAATGCAGAAGAATTTTTCTATTTTTATTTTTCATATTATTTTTCGTATAAAATAGATAATTTATTTGAGATAATTGGACTTGTTTTGGGTTTGTACAGGTGTTTCATGTCATAATTCCAGCTAGATTCGCTTTGTAACACTCGAGACTGCAGAGGGGTATGCCTGTCTTGGAGCAAGAGTACTTTTTTGGGTTTCTGCATTGTTCAACTGCGCATAAGGCGACTTCTGGTAGTTTTTTCCTGGAAAAATTCATCATCTCAGTTATTTTTTCACAGTTGGCCTATCTTTACGCATTTTAAGAGTGTTGTGGGAGCTGAAACTATGAATTTTGAGATTACAATGAATTTAATGATTTTTTTTAGCGTAAGAAATTGATGAAAGATCATTATTTTATTTTTTTTCAAAGAAATTTAGCTTTTTCGAGCTTTTAAAATAGTGACTTAATTTGATTTTCATTTTAAAAATAATAATTCTGAAGCCTCAAGTCCACCAGATCAATTTTGAAGCCCTCAAAAGGTGAATAAAAACGATTATTTAAAACCTCAACATTTCAATTTATCCTTCAGATTAAAAAAAAACGATAGATAAATTATTTTCAATGCCAAAACAATTGTTGCTGTAATAAAAACCCCCTTCGGACGTATCTCCAATGTTGAACTGATCCAATGAATTAAAAAAATAATCAAAAAGCCAAAATCGATCGTTTTAAAGACTAAACCCCTTCAAAATGATTTTTTCAATCCCTCAAAATTCACCTTAAATCCCCGAAAAATTTGAAATTCACTCCTCCAAACTCCTAAAACACAATAAACTCACATTTTCGCGGGTCGAAGGGGGAATTCTTCACCCGGGGGATACGATATCGAGCTCCCCTCGAGTGTCAGTCGATAAGTAACTAGAGGAACTTGTCTCTTCGATGCCTTTCCCTTCCCTGTGATCTTCGAGGCTTTGGACTCCTGCTTCTTCAGCAGTCTCTCCATCGTTTTTTTCTACAGCAGTAAAATCATAGTGACAAACTCAGGAAAAGTAAAACATTGGAAGTGAAAAACAGGAAATGAAGGCGACGAACGAATGAATAATTATTCATTCATTAGTAATTCTTACTTTGTCCTTCTCTCTTTTCTCATCAGCCAATTGCTTTCGTTTCAGTGACTTGAGAGCAGCCTTTTGAATGGCCTCAGCTGTCATTACTTTTTCCTTGTAGCCAGTGGGCAGAGACATCAACTGCTCAACCCCAGGATTTGGCTCTGCGTCTGTTTTCCTCTCGAACATTGCACGCTGTCTTGCTGTCATCAGTTTTGGATCCTTTGGCTTTATTTTTTTTAACTCATCGTCCACCTCAATTTTTTTTAAATGTGTAGTTGTAATTAATGAATTATTTTAATCAATCAATAACATAATTAATCATTTTAATAATTATGTGATAATATTATGATAATGATATTATGCAAGAATTGTTATTTATTAATTAATTATATTATTAATCAATAAATAACAATTATTAATAATAATAATTATAATAATTATTATTTATTTCATAATATAATGAATTCATAAATAATATAATTAATTAATAATTATAATTAAATCTATAATTATAATTGATGAATGATAACGTTAATTTCCAGTTAATTGAATAAATTAAGTGGAAAATGAAATTAAAATTATGAAAAAGGGAAATTAAATTGAAGAATTAGAAATTTTGCTGATCAATTTTTTTGTGGATTTTTTTTTAGTGTTTAAGAATTCTTGGGAGATTGTATTTTTGAAAGTACCTCCTCCAGTTTTCCAGACTCGATGGCGTCCAGCCATCGCTCCTCCTCGCTGCTGGTTCCACTGTCCCTCGGCTTTCCACCCTTTGATACTTTTTTCTTAACGACTTTCGGTAGCGACGGGGTACTGGGCCCTGCCAAGGGCGTGGAGGACACTTTGGGCAGTTTTTCTCGATTTCTTTCCGGTCTGGAATCATTTGAGAAGGTTATTAGAGGGATTTTTTGAGGGCTGAGGAGGTTTTGATGAAGTGGAGCTGTTGATACTTCTTGATTATCTCAGAAAGTATCAATGTTGGGCAAAAATGTCAGGACTTTTTTGTAGCTGACGAAATTTCCAGTAAAAAATTTTTTCTGACTTTTTCACCTAAAATAAATAATTACTGAGATAATTGACAAGATAACAAAATGGAAAAATCAACAATTGGACGTCTCAATTCCCAAATTAATTAAATTCTCTTTATGATTTTCACAATTACCTCGGAAATTATCAATTCTATCCAAAAATGGCAAAAGAACTTTTTTATAGCTAAAGAAATTTCCAATAAAAAATCTTTTCTGACTTTTTCTCCTCAAGTCAATAACCACTGAGATAATTGACAAGATAACAAAATGGAAAAATCAACAATTGAACGTTTCCATCCTAAAATTAATTATTTCTCTTTGTTTTTTCCGCAATTATCTCGAAAATGATCAATTCTATCCAAAAATGTCAAAGAACCTTTTTTGTAGCTGACAAAATTCCCCGCAAAAAAGACCTCTTCGAATTTCCCGATAAAATCAATAGTTAAGAGCAAAACAGCAGGACAAAAATTGCCAACAACTCTCTTCACCAAAGAAACTTTAAATCTTCACTTACAATTTTCCATTGTCAGCAGAAACTCTCACTTTGAACGTCTTCTTCTTCACCCTGCTCTGGTCAGCAACAGCCCCCTCCCCCTCCCCGTCCACCCCCATCTTTTTCTTCTTATGCTTCTTGTGTTTATGTTTTTTGTGTCTCTTCTGTCCTCCACCCTCGGAAAAGCCCAGAAACCCTTCAAATTCCTCCGCCTCTCCCGCGCTCGTCGCCATCTTGGAACCAATATGGCGTCGGAACCTCACTCAACGCATCATCAACTTCAGTTCTCCCCACAAAGTTCCAGAAAAACTTGGAAAATAATCACTCAACTATCACTCAGTTTTACCCGCAACAATAACCTCGAAGTCACTTTTTTTATTATTCATTAAACTTTATTTATTTATTATTCTACGGAGCTGACGATGAGCTTCCAAAGCACGAGAAAACGTCAACTTGGAAAATGCGATGACAATCGCGCATGCGCGGCCCTCGGTTGATCCGAAAAAGTGAAATTCCTGACGTGCCGAAGGTTGATAAAAAAATAGAGATCGTCTTCATCGACTGAAGAAATGAAAACAAATTGAAAAATAATTAAAAAAAAATATTATTCGTGAATTATTTTTGGATGAGCATAACTGACAGTTCTTGAATTTTTGTAAATTGTTAATTTTTTTTTCCTTCTTCGGTCGGGAACTATTTTTTTATCGACTGAGTAAGAGTTCAAACTGTTTTGTTCTAGTTCCAAGGACTTTGGTTCCATCTTTTTGTTTTGATTCTTCATTGAGACTGTCCGAAAATAAACTATGAAGTTTTATTTTTGGATGAAGAAAATGCAAAAATTCTTCAATTTTAATGAATTGTTCAATTTTTTTTTTTCGTTCATCGGGAACTGATTTTTTTATTGACTGAATAACAGTTTGAACTGTTTTGTTCTCGTTCCAAGGGCTTTCGTTGCGTCTCTTTGTTTTGATTCTTGCAAGTGTTTACATTGGGAAAAGGGGGAGGAGCCAGAGCATTCGAAGGTCGAATGCCAAAGCGAGTGGACGTATATTTACGTTTTTGACAATTACAAGTGTTTTTTAATCACTTCCCTCATTTCTGGAGAGCTTTTAGGCGATGTGGCGGTGTAATTAAGTGGTAGAAACACTTTTTTACGAATTGAGATGTTAAAAATCGTCAGAAATCAGCGATTTACATTCCGATTTTCTTTTTTAATTCAGTGTTTCTAGTTTTTTGCGGCAAAATGTTCGTGGCACTAAGAACAGAGTTGATGATGAGGGACGAGAGCAAACAGGTAGGCAACTCTCAAGAGAATTCCATTCCCTCATTGATAAATTAATTTGATAATGACTTTTTAAAATTTATTGGCACAGATCTCAGCAGTAGGGAAGATTCATTCTGAACTCCATAGAATGAAGGAAAGAAGAAACGAATTCATCGAGGACCTCTTACGGTTCAACATTGGTCATGCACTCTGTGACATCCTGGGGACATCCAACGAGAAATTATTAAAGTATTTATGCATTTTTTTAAATGAATTAACGACAGGAAAAACCAAAAAATTGAAGAAGAAAGAGTGGAATGGAACCTATCGGCTTTGAGAATCGATATCTCGAAATTGCCAGAGTGAAATTCAAAATTTTTTTTTTCATTTTCAAGGATTTTTCATAATCTTTAAAACGACCCCAAATTGATTCAAATTGCATCATCACGTCGACTGATTTTCAAGTATTAACAAAATCCACTTTATTCGATTTTCTTCAAACGAAAAGAAACAGAATAAAGTGATTCGTTTTCAATCGTCAATATCTCGAGATCCGCTGAGTGAAATTCACCAATTTTTTTTTTCATTTTAAAGACTATAAAAATATCTTCAAAATGAGATGTTACTCGCCTGAATCGGTTCACTGAATCAACAGATATCGGTGATTGCAGAAAAAGTAAATTCTCCTTTAAATAAATTTCCTCTTTTTCTGAAAAATTCTCTCCAACATTCCAGTCCAGTCCTGGAGTGTCTTTCAGTCCTCTCCACGACGAAGACCTTCTTCGAGAACGACCTGGCGAACTTATCCCTCGACAAAATCATGAAGACCTCATTTTTTTTACTTCAAAAACGAACTCAATACGAGGAGATCCTCTGCAAGATGTTGCTGACAGTGGAGAGTATCCTGGTGAACGCTGAGAAGAACCAGATGGACCTGGTGAAGATGTGCGAGATCACCAGGATGCTAGAGTACCTCAGAGATTTCGAAGCAGTGGGAGATTGGAAGATGATGCCCAAGTTGTGTTCTGTGAGGATTTTCAAACAAATTATTCATGTAATTGGCATTCCCCTGGACGATATGAGCTTCGAGATGGTCAGAAAGCTCTTTGAGGACCACCTGAAGTGCCTCGAGCAGATCATCGAGGTCAGGGGGAATCCCAATTGCCTCATTACAATCACTGCTATCAAGCATATCTGCGAGATCAACTGCAAAGCTGTTTGGTGAGTGGAAAATTTCAAGAAAAATACTTTAAGATTTTTTTTTTTCCGTTTTGTTGAAGGGGAAACGTCCTCTAGTGGACGTTTGACCCTCAACTAGAAATGTTTTTAAGGGTCGTGTGACCCTTGAACCTATTTGCCCCTCAGTTGAAGTAGAAGAAAAAAGTTTCCTGACGTTCTTGAGGCGCTCAAAAGACGACTTGATTTTTATTATGAACGTCCTTATGGATCGTTTGACCTCCAAAAGCATTTGACCCTAGGCTTCGAACGTCCTCAAAGGTCGTTTGACCCTCAAAATCATTTAACCCTCGACAAAAATGGAATAAAAAAATGATCTGACGTTCTTAGGGTTTGTTGACGCTCAAGAAGATTTAATTTGCAATTAGGAATGTCTTTGAGGGTGGTTTGACCTTCAAAACTATTTGATCCTCGGCTTCGAACGTCCTGAAGGGTCGGTTGACCCTCGAAACCATTTGACTTTGATATAAAAATAAAGGAAAAACTCTGCCGACGTTTTTAAGGATCGTTTGACCCTCAAGAACGACTTGAGTTCACTTATAAACGTCCTGGAGGGTCCTTTGACCCTCAAAACGGTTTTACCCTCAACAAAAATCGAAGAAAAAATTTTCCTAACGTTCTTAAGGTTTTTTTGACCCCCAAAACGATTCGACCCTTAACAACGAGCGACCCTGAGGGTCGTGTGACCCTCAAAACCATTTAACCCTAGGCTTTGAACGTCCTCGAGGTCCTTTGACCCTCAAAACGGTTTTACCCTCAACAAAAATCGACGAAAAAATTTTCCCGACGTTCTTAAGGGTTCTTTGACCCCCAAAACGATTCAACCTTTAACTACAAGCGTGCGTGAGGGTCAGGTGACCCTCAAAGCCACTTAACCCTAGACTTTGAACGTCCTCGAGGTCCTTTGACCCTCAAAACGGTTTTACCCTCACCAAAAATCAGCGAAAAAAATTTCCTGACGTTCTTAAGGGTTCTTTGACCCCCAAAACGATTCAACCTTTAACTACAAGCGTCCGTGAGGGTCAGGTGACCCTCAAAGTCACTTAACCCTAGGCTTTGAACGTCCTCGAGGCCCTTTGACCCTCAAAAAGGTTTTACCCTCAACAAAAATCGACGAAAAAATTTTCCCGACGTTCTTAAAGATTTTTTACACCCAAAACGATTCGACCCTTAACGACGAGTGTCCGTGGGGGTCCATTGACCCTAAAAACCCTTTGCCCCTCACCTAAAAACCAAAGAAAAAAGGCTTCCCGACATTTCGAAGAATTCATTTTCAGGTTCTGCTGGACCATCCTCGACAGCTACGACTCCGACATTTTCGTCCTCCCTCCTCCGAAGTCCCTTCACAAAGCCCTCATCCTCTCCCTGACCACGACAGCCTCAAACTCCCTCATAAAATCAGTCCTCCCCCACTTCAAACAGCTCTCCCCCACCAGCAAGGACTTGCAGGTGATCCGCGAGGGCTTTCTCAGCTACCTGAACCAGCTCTACGATCTGGGGGACGTGCCCACCCAGGACCTCTCAAGGACCCTCGCCACCGAGGGCTACCTGATGCTCCTCTTCCAGGAGGGGAGGAGCCAGCTCCTCCAGAGGATGAACTGGTTCCCCAATACTGTCTCCCACGTTCTCTCCAAGGTTCTCACGGATCTGGCGGTGATGGAGGGCTCCCTCGGGGTTGACGTCATCCCAGGGGACGTCGAGGTGTTCAGGGACTCTCTCCTCCAGGGAATCCTCACCTCCATTGAGTCAGAGCCCATGAAGAACTCCAGTGGTTTCTTGACTCTTGTCTACTTTCATCACAAGTCAACGAAAAGCGAGATTGAAGTCCCCTTCGAGGTGATCGTGGGGAAGATCCTGGGGACTCCTGAGGGCCACTTCAGGGTTGCCGAGGTCAAAGTTCTCTGGTTCCTCGTGGCGAAGCTCATGCTCAGGGAGAGGGAGAGACCCAGGGGACTCTCCGAAGCTGTCGCCAAGCTTTTTGGGACTGTCAAGGACCTGGGGGTCGACAGGTGCTTCCTCGATGATGAGGAGGTGGTGAAGAGCGCTCTGGGACATCCTCTGGGGCACGACGTCAGGGGCGATGTCCTGAAGATGTGGATTCAAAGGCATGGAGAGGTGGAGAACGTCTGCGATGACTTCACTCAGGATAATCTCATTTTCACTCTTTGGGTGAGGATTTTTTGGTTTTTCAGGGATTTCTCGGGACTGCGTGAAGCGATTTCGATGATTTTTGAAGGGAATTTTATTGGCTTTGAAATGAGCGCTGTCTCGACAGGATTCGGTCATTCAATCAGAAGATATCTAAGATTTTGTACAGTCGGTTTTTCAACTTTTGATTTATTTTAATTACGAAATAGAAGCTCAGGTGTTTGGTTTCAATCGCCGATATCTCAGCATCGGCAGAGTCGATTTGGACGATTTTTTTTTCATTCTTAAGATTTTTTTATAGTCTTCAAAACGAGCCCCGACTCATCCAGATCGCATCATTTCCCCAGGAGATATCGAATACTTTCCGTCAAGGAATTTTTCGCCAATTCATTAGAATTAAATTTTCATGAAGACAATTGAATTCTCTCCAGAGATTGATTGAAACTTCGCCCGAGGGGTTCGTCGGGAAGGTCCAGAAGTGCCTGGATGTCATAATCAGCAAGAAGAACCTCCAAAAGGACATGAAATATTTTTTCCTGCCGAGGATTCCGGACATCCTCGCTGGCTTCAGCAACTCCAAATCCCACAATTTCGTTTCGATTTTTGAACTCTTCGAGCGACTGGCCCCTGAGGAGTTTCCACGGGAGTTTGGGGTCCTCTGTGCCCCCAAAGTCATCCGCATACTCCTCGGGGAGGGGCTGGACACGAGGGTGAAAGGCCCCCTCATGAGATTCAGCTCCAGAATTCTCTCGTCCAGTGGACGTCACTCAGACCCTAGAGTGGCCAGGATTTTCGTTGGGAAGCCTGAGGTCATCAGGGAAATCTGCGCCCAGGGGTTCAGTTCGGAGAGCGAGGGGGCACTCTCTGGGGCCTGCCTGAGGGTCCTGACGATTCTCCTAGTGACGCAGCAGAAATTTCAGGTCAAGAGCGAGGAGACCGTGGCCCTGGGGGAGATGCAGCTGTACAGCCCTCTGAAGAGGCCTCTGGTGGTGGCCCTGGAGGCTGTGAGGTTCCTGACTATTCTGCTGTCAGAGGGTGTTGAGGGCCCAGTGGTGAAGCTCGAGGGGTTCAGTAGTGAGGCTCGAAGGGACGAGATCATCTATGGGATCTACGACAGGGTGATGGCACTCCAGGCTATGGTATGTAATTTTTCCTTTATGCTTGTTAAAATAATAATAAATACGCTTGGAGATTTTTTAAATGAGTTTTCACGTGAAACAGCGAGAGAAATGAGAGACTTTGCGTCAGCTTTTGATAAATATCTCCCACAGATTTTGAGATGTTTTGCGGAGATTGAGGAGTTGTTTTGGTTTATTTCGCGAGTAATTTTCAATGAGAAATCGTCTGGCAATCTTCTTCTGACGAAAAAATGTGAGATATATTTTTGGGTCAGGATGAACTGACTCTGGACCTCAATATTTTAATCTTTCACTTACTCCCTGTCACTTTATCCGACCTCCAATGCAACATTACATTTTACTCCACCTCAAGACAGCCCCCTTGAAGCTTCAAAAATCTCCAATCTGTTGTCAAAAGTAATCATTTTCTCCCTCAAAAAATTTTTAAAGCAAATCATGGATAAGGCGGGTTGATCAGAGATCCTCCCCCACTCCTCCAGAAACCCCCAGCAATTTTTTAAAATTCTCCAGCCCTTCGGATAAAAAAAAATAATGAAAAAATCTTCAGTGTGCTTCAGAGCACTGGATCCACCTCTACAACAGTCTCTCGACAATCCTCAAGTTCTGCGAGCGCAGGAGGTTCAGGAAACCCCTCACCCTCTGCTGCGACTCCCCTGCCCACTTCTTCCTCGTCTTGTTCGCCACCCAGAAGTTCGACACTTCACCACAATTCTTCAATTTTCTGAACCACTGGCTGACAATATCGACTTCCATCCCCACTGACAATGTCCAGTACGCATTGAGGTACAGAGAGGAGCGAAGAAGAAACGAGCTAGACCCCGATCTCCCATTTGGAAGGACTCTCCAGCTTCTGAATGTTTTCATTAATCATCTGAGAGACGACTCCAAGGTTGATCAAAGTCTTCTTGAGCCTCTAAAAGCTTTGGTAAGCAAAAAAAATCGTCAGAAAAATTATTTGCAAAGAAAACATTATTTTCGAAAACTCGTACGATTATTTTTCCACTGTTTTCAGGTGGAGAAACTCATCTGAGACATGAAAAAAATATTTTTATTCAAAAGATTCGCTTTATCAATTTTTCATTGATATTTCATTAAGATTCCAACAATTGTTCGAGGATTCTAACTTTGGTGAGTGGTAAAAACAATTTAAAGAATTAGATTTTCCATTTAAAAAATTGCTAAAATAATTTTTCTCATTTTCTAAAATTAATTTTCAGCTGGAAATTTTCATCTGAGGATTAAAAAACAATTTCTTCAATGTTTTGTTGCACTATTAAGAAGATTTACTATTAATTAGAGGATTCATACTCCGGTGAGTAATAAAAAAATCTAAAAAAATATTTTTCTCTCAATAAAGAAAAATGAAATAATTCTTTAAAATTTCCCTTTCTCCATTTTTCCAGATGAAAAACCCCTTTTCACCGACAAAAGGACAATTTTCACTTGATAAATTCGTTTTATTAACTTTCATGAACATTTCCTTACAATATTAATAAGACATTAACATTAATTCGAGGTTTCCATGACCGATTGATAATTATTAAGACCGTTAAATCCTAAAAAAGTGATTGTACGTAATTACGAGTGATAGTACAGCATCCGAAATGATGTCCCCATCAATGAGACGTATCTCCAAAGTACGTGAGACAGTTTAAGTCCCCTTCATCGTACGCTCATAATGCATTAAATGTGCATAATGGAGTATTTTCTGAAGGATTATTGGGATTATGTCCTTGGAACGGGATTTAAGCGTATGTTTTATCTCGCTTTGTCTGAATAACTTCAGCTGAAAGGGGATTTAGTTATTCTAAGGGGTTTTAGAAAGAGAAAATTGCGTTGAAAATACTTGTATTAAATATTTTTTTTTTATGAATAAAGAGATATTTCGTTGAAGTAAAAGTGGATTTTTTTTCTGAGTTGAAGATAATTTTTTTGAGCTGAAGATTGAGGGATTTTATTTTATTGGGGAGAAGAGAGGGGCAAAATGGAGCACTGAAAAAATGATTGTTGTCAGGAATTTTTTTTGGTTTTAGTTGAGGGTCAAATGACCCTAAAAAAGGTTTAAAGTTAAGGGTGGGAGGGTTTTGAGGGTCAAACAGCCCTCAAAAAAGGTTTAGAGTTAAGGGTCAAATCATCTCAAGGGTTAAATGACCCTCGAAAAGGTTTAGAGTTCGGGGTCAAATGGTTTTGAGTATTAAATGATCCTTGAAAAGATTTGGAGTTGAGGGTTAAATAATTTTAAGGGTCAAAAACCCTGTAAGAGGGTTTATCATCAAGTTTGTCCCTTAAATCTATTTGACCCTTAACCAGAAACCGCAAAAAAAAAATTTCCTGAATTGTGCAAACTACTCGCTTTGCCCCGCGGTTTAATTTTATCCTCATCTCCCCTAATTGGAGTAGTTTTTTTTTTAATTGGACCCTTGAACCACATTTCGTTTTTAATTATAAAAATTGCTCCTTTGTTATTTCCGAGGGCGACCGTTGCGCTGCATAAAACAGCCCTTGAATGAGTTCAGTCTCACGTCGATTTCACCCTCCTCCAACTGGCCGAGAATATTACAGGGTTATTAACATAGATAAAGGGGAAAATTAGTGGGGTGATGAGTTTTTATACCTGATCGAAGAGGTAGATTTCACGATAACAAGACGGCGAGACGCATTCGCGAATGCATCGAGTCTTAGCCACTGCGCTTCGCTGTTGGGAGAGGGTTTTGCAGGCTCCACTCTCCTCGCAAGCTTGCTCGAACTCTCGGAATAGTAATTCCTACGGGAGTGATTATGCGGTTCAACGAAATTTCCAAGTCTTGTAGATATTTCAACGCTGAATGCAAATCCACTTGGGAAATCTTTCTTAAAAGTCCCGTTTTTGAGAAGAACAAAAGTCAAATAATTTTTTTTCATCTTTGTTACTCAAAAAATGATCGAGGGTCAAACAGTCCTGAGGGTCAAATGGGAGAGACGAGTGAAGTGATCACTTCGCCTGTCTCTCCCATCTGACCCGCAAGAAAGTTTGATTCTTCTGATCACTTATTGACCCTTGAACAAGGAAATTAATGATGAAAAATAATTTTTTTTGTGAAGGTCAAACGGGAGAGACGGGAAGAGTAATCAGAAGGGTCAAACGTTCTCAAGGGTCTAATGAGAGAGACGAGTGGAGTTTTCACATCGATCGTCTCTCTCATTTGACCCTCAAGAATGTTTGACTTTTCTTATCACTTCGTTCGGCTCTCCCAATTTGACCCTTTTGACCCCTGCACCGGTCTCTCCCATTTGACCCTCAAGAATGTTTCTCTTCTGATTCTATTTCACTTTACGTCACGCCCATTCAAGTCAGTCCCTCTCTGTGAAGTCTACCCATTAAAGAATTTGAATTTCGCGGCATGGGGGTGGGTTGCCACCCCCAAACACGTCGCCAGAACGGATCAAAACATTCAACAATTAAAAATGGAAATAGTTTAACAAAAAAATTGATAATTACGTTTTTTGAAGTCTCTTTGTACGGATATTCGGGGAAGACAAATGTCTTCGCTTGCTGTTGACTTTCACTAATTCCAAGCACAAGTAGAAACAGACTGAGCCCGTGTGCCATACGCCCCGCCATCTTGAAACAACCCCGGAAGGATCGATATTGCGCTGAGATATCTGCGCACATCGTTGGCAATTTTCCACATTCAAATTATTTTTCCTCCCCCTCGGTTATATCAGAGTGATAATTTTTTTTTATTGCCGAGATGTTCAACGATAGGTCACAGTCGTCAAAGAATATATTTTCAGGGCGGTACTCGATGATTTAGATAGTGGAATTAATTTTTTTTTATGAGCACGAGAGATTTCGGGCTTGAGGAGGATTGGAAAATTAATTGAGAATTTTTAGGGGGAATTGAGGGTTGTGATAAGGAGGTCTGAAGATTAAGGGGCGGAATGCGAGACAATGTGGAACGTTTGCGAATTGCGTTGTTCAAGGGTCAAGCAAGGTTGAAGGTCAAATGGGAGAGACGTGTGGAAAGGTCGAGAGGGTCAAACGGAAGAGACGAACGAAGTGATCATGAGAATCAAAATTTTTTGAGGGTCAAATAGAAGAGACTATTGGAGGGTTAAATGGGAGTGACAGTTGGAAGGTCAAATGGGAGTGACAGCTGGAGGGTCAAATGGGAGAGACGAAGGAAGTAATCAAAAGAATTAAATTTTTCTGAGGGACAAATGGGACAGACGAAAAAAGTAATCGGAACAGTCAAACTTTTTTGAGGGTCAAATGGGAGAAACTGTCGGGGGGGGNCGAAATGATCACTCCACATGTCACTCCCACTAAACCCTAAAAAATATTTGACCCTTCTGATTACCCTCCCATTCTCTCCCGTTTAACCCTCAACAAAATTTCACCCTAAAAAAATTTGACCCTCTATTTTTTTCTGAATAATAGAAATGGAAAAAAAAGTAATGTAAATTTTTCACAGTTCCACCCCGTCTCACCCCTCACCCAAATCCACCCCTTAAACCCCCAAATAATCTCTCTCCCCCCAAAATCATCGTAAATAATTTGAATAAACACCTGAACAAATTGTTCAATAATCCATAAACGCATATCCCCCAGATAAATGTAAATTGTCCGTGCATTCGCATGAAATCCGATGCGTTTTGGATTGCCACCACGTGGGTGTTACCCATTTTCGTATATTCAACAGTATTAGAGAGGTTTTAAAGCAAGTATGCGTGCGGTGGATTGGCGGCGTGGCATTAGTTTGAAACGCCAGATATACACATTTGAACTCTCGGTGCAATCCCACCCCCATTATACCCCTCCTTCACCCCCTCCCCCCCGGCACCTCCTGCCCCCATCAAAACAACATGAATTAGTGGGATATATACGCTGAGAAGGGGGAGAAGTGGACTCACATGCACGCACGCTTGAATTCCGTTTGTTTCACCCCGAAATTAACGTCCACGCATGATAGAATGAGACAAGCCCCCAACCCCTCAGTGCCCCCCCCCCCCCNCGGGTTTTACACACATGTGGCAGGGCGTAGATGTCGATTTTATTGTTTGTGCTTTCAATGAAATCATTTAAACCCGCAAGTGTCTGCTTCTGTTTGGTGATATTGACAGGATTAGGGGTGAGAGGGGTGAAAATGACGGTATTTTGCAGTCGGAAAAATGGAATTTGAAAAAAGATTTTTAGAGTTCGTAAAAAAAATTGTGAATAGGAAAAAAATTCGTGGAGGAGTGCAAAGAAAATGTTATCCTCAATAATTATTTGAATTGATTCAGTAATTGATTGAAATTTGGACCTACGATTTGGCAACAACGCATTTTCGTTGGACGAGGTTGGTGCTACTGTCCTCCGATATGATGCTATACTATACTATAGTCTGTGCTAGAGGACCTAAAGTGGAGCTAACGCAGCGCCCCCACGTGCGCTCTAACCTCCTCTCACCGTTGCCACGTTGAACCACCATTTTCCTACACCCGAACGATAATTCCTGTACATTTTTAATAATCACTCCGGATTGCCGCGGTAAAAAATAATAAAATCGCAGGGATATATTCCTGAACCCTATACCATGCTACACATCAGACATTCGGACATACTTTCAATATTTTTCAAAAAATATTTTCAATATATATATATTTTTTTTCAAGGCTACGCCTCTTTTCAATAAAAATAATCCACCCAAAAAATATCTCCAATGTTAATCATCCATAATTGATCCAATCACAGAATCTGAAATCGTCAACGGCTTCTCAATGGGGTCCCTCCCGACCCCATAAATCACAGACCATGAAAACTCGTTTCCATTCAATGCGAAATAGCAACACAAATGCCCCCCCCCCTCTCCTCATTATTTGGGGGGGGAGGGGGGCAAGTGCCAACAGAGTCACGGCAATCTTCGTAATTAAGGGATTCCATGCGTACCAGAGCGAATTGAAGAGGCACCAGCCCCCCCCCCCCCCCCCTCCACTGGTCCGTATTTGTGTGCCTATGGCCTCGGGAAACTCAAGTCCAGTATCAGAATGGCTCTGGGATATATATGTTTCGTATACAGATAGTTTCGGAACACTGAATGTATAGAATGGGGCACTGCGTCGGTGGTGGGGGAGGGGGGGGGGAGAAGGAGGGGGATCGATCGTGCAAATTTACACGTTGCACACGCGACCTTCTCTCTCCTCTACAACCCCCCCTCGCCCCCCTTCGGACTATAGGGCGGTGCTGAGGTACAGGGCTGGAGCATTTCATGTATATACACATTTGCCGGCGTGTAAACGAGACCTATTATTGGTCGATCTTGTTTGCACTATCAAACTCAACACGTATGATCACTTGCACCTGAACAAATTGTCAGGATTTGGCCTTTTTTTGCTCCCACGTTGGAGAAGGATGGGCTGAGACTTTGGATTAATTTTTTTTGTGATTTTTTCAGTTGATTTTTCAATTTAATATTGGATTAATATGTGAAGACTGTCATTATTTTGATGAATCCATTATTTTCACTCTCCCGTTTGGCCCCTTTGACCCCTCCGTCCGACCTTTCCATTTGACCCTCAAGGTTTAATTCTTCTGACCACTTCGTTGGTCTCTCTCGTTTGACCCCCAATCTGTTTGATCCTTAAAAACAAATCTGGAAAATAATTCGAAGTGTTTTCCATCTCTATTTACTCAAAGAATGATAAAGGGTCAAAAATACTTGAGGGTCAAACGGGAGAGACAAATGAAGGGTCAAATGTTTTCGAGGATTAAACACGAGAGACGAACGAAGTGATCACTCCATTTGTCTCTCCCGTTTGACCCTCTTCACCTCTCCGTCTGTCTCACCCGTTTGACCTTCTTGACCTCTCCGCCTGTCTCTCCCATTTAACACCTTTGAGCCCTCCGCCTGTCCCTCCCATTTGACCCTCAACCCTGTCTGACTCTTGAACAACGAAATTCCCTACAACACCACTCTGCCCATTCTCAAATTATTTCCTACATTGAATGCTTGTTTCCTTTCAATTGAGCGCTTCGTTAATTAATTTCTCTCCACTCACAATTCATCACCGAGTAACATCGACTGTTCATTTCTAGAATTTAATTGAGAGACTTCTCGTTCGTCTCAAAAGCTCCTTTCTGTAAGAGCAGAATTATTCAAAAGGGGGAAAAGTCACATGTAGAAAACATGGTATTCGTTATAATCGATTTCCCGTCCTTTACAATTTCTCTTTTTCATCACTCTCTTTACATTCTAACCCCCCCCCCCTCCTCCACCCCCTTCGCATTATACCTCGAACCCCCTGACAATCCTACGCCTGAATGAGGTTCAAGGACCTCGTTAAAACTGCAAAAGTGGCTTTCTGAATTCCTCCACTCCCCTCGCAATGTCCTTCTACAAAGAACCCGCAAATCCATCTATTCAACTCATATTTTAATAATTTTCATTGAAACGTTATATTTGGTTAATGGGAAGTTTCAAAAATCTCCGACCATTTCGAAATAAATGGATGATGGATTTCGTTTGTATTCATGGAGAATTGAAATATCGAGTGAATCCAAGTTTTACGAGTTTCTGTTTATGCCGATGGGACGAATTGTCAAGTTCAGATCATAAATTCGCTTGGTGAATTGCCGTGAGGCATTTTCGGAAGGTGATAAAAGCGACTGAATTTCCATTTGAACAAAAGTGGAAAAGCGAAGAAAATTCCGATTGATGACTATTTCGTGTCTGGGGTATTAATGGGCGAGCATTTGTGGTGGTGGTGGAACATTAAAGGAACAACATTTTATTTTAGTGCAATTATTTCGATCTTTTTTCTTTGGCTAGCTGTCTGAAGCAGCGATTATGGACCTTGGTTATCCTGCAAGTTTCCGAAGGGAGGTGGAAATGGTGGGGCAGAATGGTGCGATTTGAATGAAATTATAGGTTTTTGAGACCTATTGAAAATGCTAAAAAATGACTATAAATTTTTTTAATTTCACTCTGCGGATGCTAAGTTATAGATAATTGAAAATTGTCGCGCACGCCTAGGAAGCTTTCAGGCACGAAAACCGTTCTTCGATTTGTTGTGACTGAAAATGGTGCGAATGGAATGAAATTGTAGGTTTGCGAAGCTTATAAAAAATGCTTCAAAATCACCGAAAAAATTTTTAATTTTACTCTGTCAATATTTAGTTATCAACAACGGAAAATTATCGCTCCCACCTAAAAAAAATCTCTGAATCCCCCAGTTCCCAAATAAAACCACTGGAGCATTTTCCTTTTGTCATGAAATGGGTCACGTACACCGTCACGAGGCTACAGGCTACTCTCCAATTTAATCCCTAAACACAAGCGTAAAATCCTCCTAATTAAGGCTCACAGTAGCGTACGAATTCAATCACACGAATGTTGAAAATACACATACACACACACTTGGATTATTCGACATTGAAGATGAACTCAAAGGACCCAGCGTTCCCTTGACGTCATAGCCATTTCATGGTGCCTCGGGGCAAACTACTGCATAACCCAGACACTGTGCGGACGGAGGTGAAAAGCACCCTCTGACGTTTTCCCCGACTCAACCCTTGACGTTTTCCACGTTTCCTCGGATTTTAGCCCAACGTCAGCGGAATTTTTCTTCTCTGATTTA